CAAAAAGGTCTTAAAAGGATAGTATTAGTAATTTTGGGTCAACAAATTAGATCATTTAGATAAAATGAACAAATCCCTAGTAACACACCACCTACAAAGACTGAATTTGAAAAAACATAGTTTGAACATAACTATAGCTGGTAAAATGAGTGATTATTGTTTTTCGGTTTCCCAATGCAGGACTCCCTTGAGGATTTCTTGTAGGGCTGGTTGTGTGGTGGTGAACTGCAGTTTTCATTTGTCTAGAAAATATACTATTTTCCCCTCATTTTTGAAGGATAGACTTGCTGGGTACAGTATTCTTGGCTGGCAGGTGTTTTTTTCTTTTAGTATTTTGAATATATCATTCCCATTTTCTTCTGGCCTGTACAGGGTCTGTTGAGAAGTGTGCTGTTAGTCTGATAGGTGCTCCCTTATAGGTGATTTGACACTTTTCTCTTGCTTCTTTTAAGATATTCTCTCTTTGTCTTTGAGCTTTGCCAGTTTGACTATAATGTGTCTTGGAGAGAATCTTTTTGGGTTGAATCTGTTTGGGGATCTTAGAGCCTCTTGGATCTGAATGTCAGTGTCTCTCCCTATACCTGTGAAATTTTTGGTTATTATTTCATCGAATAAGTTTTCCATGCCTTTTCCTTTCTCATCCCATTCTGGAAAACCCATGATTCAAATATTTGTGCACTTAAGGTTGTCTGCTAATTCTCTTAGATTTTCTTCATTTTTTAAAATTCTTTTTTTCTTTTTTTTATCCACCTGAGTTATTTTGAGAAGACTATCTTCAAGGCCAGAAATTCTTTCTTCTACTTGGTCTAGCCTTCTGCTTAAGCTATCAGTTGTACTTTTTATTTCATTGAATCATTCAGTTCTATGAGTTCTGCTATATTCTTTTTTAAGGTATTAATCTCTTTATAAATTTCCTCCTTCATATACTGTACTTTTTTCCTCATTTCATTATGTGGTCTGAGTCTTCTCGTATCTCAGTGAGTTTCCTTAAGATTGTTGCTCAGAATTCCTTTTCAGTCACTTCAAGAGTTTCCTGCTCTGGTGTTTGAGAATTACTGTATTCTTCCTGGTATCATATTTTCTTGGATTTTCATGTTTCTATTATCTTTCTGTTGATGTCTGGTCATCTGGTAGAGCAGTTGCTTCTTCTACTACTCTGGAGAGGGCTTTGAGGAGAGAGATACCCTCTTCTTTTTCCAGTCTCCACTGGTGATACTCCTTGAGTCAGTGCAGTCAGGTGTCTGGTGGGCCCGCAGCACTTTTTTCACAAATTTGCAGCAGCTGTGGCTATGGCAGTGTCTGGGGTAGGCCACCCAGCAGAATTTCATCATGCTTCTTGCCTACTTCCAGGTGGGGGGTACTGCCCCTGGCTCCTGCCTAGGTCCCAAAGCATGCTCTAATGCATTGTGTTTGAATTTTAAACTTTTTTTCTCCTCAGTAGAAATTGTGTATGTTTAATACTAGACTGCTCAGTCTGATATTATCCTAAAACTAAACATGTTTTCTTTTCATTTTAGTTCAGACTTGGTTCCTTCAACCTAGAGAAAGTTGCAAGCTCAACTGAGGTTGTTAGAGAACTTATTTGTTACTGTCTGGATACCGTAGCAGAAAACCAAGCCAAAAACGAGCACCTACAGAAAGAAAATCAAAGGCTTCTTAGAGATTGGAATGATATTCAAGAACGGTATGTACACATGGGCTTGCATTATAAAAACATTGTACCCTCTTTATATTGTAGCAGTAAGCCAATGATTTGTAAATTTATAATATACGTAGAGTAGCCTATTTTAAAGTAAAGTCTATTATTAATTATACCTTAATCTGATTAAGCCAAATTTTTAGTCACTATTGGGTATTATAGGAGTGCATTAACACTTTTAGGTCATTAGTATTTGGTGTCTCCAACAAACTTATAAACAATAAGGAGTAATTGGACATTGAGGATCACAACACATTAATATCAAAAAATTTAGGGGGTGGATATTTATAAGGATTAATTCAACTTAAATTGTAGGACTAATGATGAATAAAAAAGAGACATGAAATATAAATAAGCATAATTGATTTTTTATTTGGAATCAATGAATGACAGTTATTTCTAATTTCAAATGATGTGTGTTTGGCTCCTAATAAAGACTTATTTCTCTTGATTGAAAATTCATTCTACAAGCATTTTTAAAAGGTGAGGTAATTGTGGCTACTGGGTAAGACATTTGGAAGCCTTTTATTCCTGGCTTTGTCTTTCTTTTTTTTTTTTTTTTTTTTTTTCTTGTCTCTAATTTTTTAAAAGATGAAGGAGAAAGTCACTTATCTTCTCAATTGACTTTCTCAACTAAATCATAACCTAGGCTGGTCTAGTATGTAACCTGTATTACTCTATTATGTAAAAATGTTTGATGGAAATAAAGTATGTCTTGTGAACATTTATATCTCCACAGAGTCATATATAATATGCATATCTTTGTACTTATGTATATATATATATATATTTTATAATGTCTGAAATAATGTAGAATGCATATAATAATGATAATAATTATTGTTACAACCAGTACACTCAGTAGATATTTTTATCTTTCATTTAAACTAATGGCTCTAAAGCATAAGAACATTTATCCTACTTAGGGTCATTTTAGAGCAACCATTGTGATTGTTCTGGGTGGGCATTAATAGAGATATGAGAAAAAACAAACAAACAACAAAATTAAATTAAACAAAACAAAAAAAGATGTGGGAGAGTACATGAAAAATTGTGAAGAGTTTTACCACTGTCAATGTATGCATGTGAAAATGATGTTGGCTAAAAGAAGTTACTTTTCTGTACCTTCAGTTATATTTATTAATTACCGTAAGACATGTAAAATTAAGTTCCTAACACGTGGATATACTTGGCTGTCAGTTATTATATTAAGAAAATGTCTATCTTGTTCTCTTTTAGCTCTAAATTAATTATCAATTATATATATGTAATTTTATATAAATATAAAAATGAGATCAAATCAAAACATGTAAGCATTAGGAAACCATGCAAAAAAATAAGTTAATTTTTTTCTTTAACTTGTGTTTTACTCATTTCAGTATGAATCAGTATTAAATATCTATGCTACATAGCATTTTTTTGGACCTGTATCTGTAGTTTGGGTGTGTTTTTCTATATTATATGTGAAATAAATCAAATTAAAGGAGATGTGCTGTGATCATGATAAGCCATTATATTTAAAACTCAAAATACCCTCAGTATGATAGGAAATTTGATCTGCAAATTGCTCACAAAAATGCAGACTAGGGACTTGGTACTTGAACAAATTACTTTAAAATGTCTGCCAGAGGTTGAGAGAGGTATTATCTCATCAGTATTCAACACCACTCCCATAGAATTGAAAGCAGCAGGGAATGGAGATGAGGCAGTTGAGACAAACACACCCTGCACTGTAAAACAGTGTGTGTGAGGGGTACATATAATATGTGGCTCTCAGATGCTGGATTTCCTATTTTGAACTATCCAGAAAGTGCTTTTGTCTTATTGTGGTGAGAGATTTCCTGTTTGATCTAAAGCACAGTCATGTATCCTGTCACCTGCATTATCACCATCCAGCCATTCTTTAATACTGGATCACACATCTTCTTTAGGGGCTAAAGATGTGTTCCATTGGGGTGGCCCCATGAACTGAGAGGAAAAACAGTTCACTGCAGAGAATTCTAGGCTCTTAATTGTATACCAGATGTTAGATTAGTAGCTTTATATATTTCCCACATTTGGTTTTTCTCCTGTTTGGAGCTGTAAATACATCTTTGTCATGGCTAAGCAGTACTTTGTTAGTGTTCCCTCACTAGAGCCTTAGTATACTGGAAAATGAGCAGAGGATTTATAGCTTCAGCTTCCATAAGGTAGTAGTACTGATTAAGAGCCTTTAGTGAGATTAGAAATAGAACTTGAGCATAACAAGGTAGGAAACTGGAGACGCAGAAAGTAGAGAATGATTGGAGTCAGAGCCATGATGTTAGGCTTGGCCACAGTTCAGTTTTGGGGGCAGCCTCTGATTACTGTTGTGTCAGTGTTCATCTATGACACAATCATTTCTTCCCCGTCATCATTCCAGACTGTATGTGGAGATGGGAGGGTGTTTGAAGATAGGGTGTGGCACAAAGTAAGGAATGGGAGTTCTCCTAGAAGCTATGATAGATGGGCGCAAAATATATTTAATGCACAATAGGATATCACACAAGCCAAATACCATCAAGTACACATGTCCTCATTCACATGGAACATGTGTATGATATAGTAAGGGGAGACATGTGCATTATCAAAAATATGAGTAATACCCCACTGTGCAAAATATATGTTTATATAGAGAATGTCTAGAAGGAGAAAGTTAAATGTTAATAGTATATGTTTAGAATTGTAGATTAAGGTTTCCTTTACTTTTTGAAGATTTTTTTTTGCATATATTTTAGTACTTAAATACGTATCACTATTATGATCAGAGCCAAGTATAAAGCTGTTTCCATTTGGGATGACAGTGGGGAATAAACAAGGCTTGGATGAGGAATGAGGAATTACATACTACAGTATGAGTAAAAAGAGGGAGCTTTAATGGGTAACTTTTGACATACATATTTGCCGTTATTTTTCAGTTACTGCTTACTAATTTTGGTCTTGGCTGCATTATGAACAAGTGACATTACTCGATTAATTTAATTTGTATGATTTAGATAAAGAAGGAAACATTAGGAAATTTGTATGTGAATCATCAGGTTACTAGCTATATTTATTTCACCGAGTTTTCCTACTTAATTTCAAATAACAATTCTTAAGTTCCATGTTACTGAATAGATCTTTTGTTTGCACTCAGACCTCAGTTTAGAAATTCTCTGGCCTTATTCTGAGTTATAGTTATTAAACCCATAATTAAAGGCAGTTTTCAGTGAATTGGGTTGACGCTCAGGGAATCATTCAAAGGCCTTGAAAGCTCTTCCACTTCATCTCTCTGCCTTCAGGATAGAATCACATTATGTCCAAATGCATTCAGTCTTGTTTTTGAAGACCTCAGGAGGTATCTTCATCTATTCAAAGGCCTTGAAAGCTCTTCCACTTCATCTCTCTGCCTTCAGGATACAATCACATTATGTCCAAATGCATTCAGTCTTGTTTTTGAAGACCTCAGGAGGTATCTTCATCTCTCCCTGGTAGACCATTACAATGTTTAAGAACAGTCACAGTCAGAAAATTCTTTCTTCCATCTATCGGTAATCTGAATCCTTCATGGTACAGTTGAAGGCCATTTCCTCTTGTTCTGTCATCAGAAGGAAACAAGGAACAGCTGTTCACCATCTTCTCCAGTACTTATCTCCAGTACTTAAAAGCTTATTAAGTCTCTTTATCACTGCTTTCTTTTCCAGTTCTTTTTAGCGTTCTGTCCTCCTAACTCTATTCAGATTTTCTTTTGCTATGCAACCCTGACTTGGATATAAATTTGGCCAAAACTGATTGTTAATATAAGGATTATTGCACTGTTACTAAGTTCCATATGTTCGTATTTATGTATCTATTGTTATATTTGTGGTATTGCTGCATGAAATTCCTTTGATTTTGCTCTTATTTTTGTTATTGTTTTTGACATGTTATTCTCAGATTATTTTCACACCCAGAAATATTGTATTTTGAGTATTCAATATTTTTCTGTATTTGGTTTTTATCCATTTATTTTTTTTTTGTAATTGCTATCCTTTGGGCCAAGGTCCTAGATACCTCAGTCCTAGGTTACTGATTAAACTTAGCATTACTGTTCTATTGTTGTAGTCACTGTTGAAACAATGAAGTGTCATTAGACCTCTACTGTTTCATATTATTTGTGATTTATCCAGTTTGAGCTTTGCCTTGCACTGCGCATGGCCCAGCACCCCACGTCTGAACCCAGATGCCTCATAGTGATTTATCACACCAAAGGACAAGCTGTCAGTGGCTTGAACTTAGAATAGTTAAGGTGGCTCACATCCACAAGAAGGGGCCTGGACCACTGGCATCTCTGTAGATACAAGGAGGCAGAATAAGTCCACTGGGTCCCTGCAGGCCAGTGTGCAGTAGCTGAAGGAGTACCATTCCATGCTCACCCTCATCCCCAAGAGGCCCTTGGCCTCCAAGAAGTGAGACAGCTCTGCTAAAGAACTCAAATTGGCACCCAGCTGGCAGGATCAGTAGCCATATGGAATGTCTACAGGAAAGAGAAAGGCAGAGTCTTCACCTAGGAGGAGGAGAACTTCAAAGAGTTAGTTAGTGTTCACAGGGCCTGTGCCAATGCCTGGCTCTTCAGCATCCGTACAAAAAGGGCCAAGGAAGCTGCAGAACAGAATTTTGAAAAGAAAAAATAAAGCGTCATTGGAGACATAATAAATTAGCAGTAAAGCTGGAATAACAACAACAAAAAGATGTTCATATAACTCAACTTTATTCATTTATCTAATAAATACCTACTAAACATCTGTGGAATTCCAAACACTGTGCTAAGCACTGAGGATAAAGTAGCCAATAAAACACCCATGCTGACTGCCCTCATGGAGTTCACAGCCTTGGAAAAGACTATGCTGTAAGAATTTGATGGAATTGTTCCCAGAAAATATATTGCCATATGTTGCTCTTCATCCTATGAGAGGACTTAATTCTCTGCATCTCTAGATAGGTACAAACATAAGGACAAATACATGAAAGAAATCAAATTTTGAAATTTTAGCTTTCAGTCATTTCACTGAAATATATATAAATGTGTGTATATATGTGTACACACACACACACACATTCACACGAGGGCACTTCAAAAAATTCATGGAAAAACAGATTTAAAAGAATCTTTCCATGAACTTTTCGAAGACCCCTCATATATATTGCAACTGATGTACAAAGGGTCTTCGAAAAGTTCATGGAAATATTTGTATTGTCTTTCAATTTCATTTTTCCACAAACTTTTTGAAGTAGTGTGTGTGTGTGTGTGTGTGTGTGTGTGTGTGTGTGTGTGTAAAATATGAAAATACTAGAAAACCTATATAGAACAAAGGAAATATAAATAAACAGGATGGTAAACAGAAAACTATGCAGAACTAGACTATTTAAAAGAATACATGAAATAATTTGTATTTGAATCTATAAAATAGAGGTTTGTTCATGGTGTGTGTATGTGTACATATTAGCTAGTTTATTTTTTCTACTTTATATATATCTTGAGAGATTAAAATAAATAGAATCACGTTAGCTCATTTTAGCATTGTAGGAAGAATTATAAATAATAGAGAATTTTATAAGTTTTATCTTACATATCTAAAATAGAAGATATGTCATATTTCACATTTGCTGTTTCATTAATCTCTCTTTGGAAATATCAAGTAGGATACTTTCATTCATTATATATGTGTTCGTATGTGTATCTGTGTATATGTGAGGTACTGAGTTATAAGGATATAATTAAGTAAAATAAGTCATGTTTTCGTTGTGGAACAGTTCATAGTCTAGTAGGGTACTCAAACAGATTAGGTATATAACTTAATCACGAAAATCATGATTTCTATTATAGTAATAGTAACAAGGTACTGAGGAAATATAGGCTTCATTTACTCTTGTAATTACTATATTGAAATTTCTGTCATAAAAACATTCTTTTGTAAATAAACCATAGATGTGAATAGAATAAATTATTACATTTAGACATTTCGATTTTTTAAAGTTTTGTTTATATGAGTTTTCAATTTTGATCTTTAAGTACATAAGCTACTAACATTAATAACCAATCATTTCTAATTATTTAACTGTATAAAATTTTTTAGTAAATCAAAGAATATGTAAAAATTATTTTAAATTGTATTTTTCTTGAAATCTTCTTGAGTATTAGAATGAATAATAATGCTAACAAAGACTGATTTATTAATTTGTGTGTTTATTTATTTTTTAGATTGGAAAAATGTGTGAGTGCTAAGGAAGCTTTGGAGACTGACCTTTACAAACGATTTATTCTCGTATTGAATGAGAAAAAAACAAAGATCAGAAGCTTACATAAATTGTTAAATGAAGTTCAAGAACTAGAAAAGAACACTGAACATGAAAGGTATTTTAGCCTTTCTGCTTTTGGACGACTGACGCATAAATTTAAGTGAAATTTCTTCCCAAACTTAATGAAAATGACTTGCCAACTTTTTAGTAATATGAAAACATTTGATAGTCTGAGATTGGATGCTCTGCTGTTAGACAGGGATGTAGTGGACTAGAGAATTCTCAACATTATCTCTTCATGCCTGTCCAACTGGGTCCCTGCAGGCCACTGTGTAGTAGCTGAAGGAGTGCCACTTAAATCAGAAACTGGCATGGGACTTATCTAAATATTACTTGTTTAATTCTTAGACATCACTAAGAAATAAACACATTAATTAAAAATACCTTTGAAGTGTAAAACTACAGAGTTGGATGCACATATATAATAGTCTTGACGACTAAGCAGTGGTTAACTTTAAAATGAAATGTTTAATGCTTAATTCTCAGAAGCATTATTTTATCTGATTAGGGTGTGGATCTCTCTCTCATCCACCTGTCAAGTTTTCTCTGAGAATGGATGTGTACTTGATTGTTAAGGAAGAATCATAGGTGACAAGTGGCTGGTATGGCTTTGTTTAAATATAATTTTTTTAGGCATTAGCAGATACAGGTTTGGATCTATTGCTATGAATCAAAAAGAAGCACAGGTTTATCAATGACATAGTATAAGAAACATAACATTTGATGTCAGCTGGTCCTAGTTCAGGTGCTGGTCTGGCACTTATATCTGTTAGTATATGGCTTTGGGCAAGTCCTTTAAACTCTCTGTGCCTTACTTTATCCTCTTAACAAAGACAAAGGTACCCATCTCAGGGTTTTGAGGAGATCAAATAAAATGCAGAACTTCTTTGAGACTAGTAAAACACTAAACATTCTGTGACCCACAGAGATAATTTGGTAGAATAGTATTTTGAAAGAAGAAAAAGTCATAAGAAATTAATTCAAGAATTATAGTGAGCACTAAACAACATTCAGATTATTAGGTGAAAAAGAAATTTGTTCCTAAGAGAGTTAATATATTGTCTTTAAAGTGGCTTCATCTAAATCATATATATTTCAATATATTTGTCTAGTTAGAATCTTTTTCCAGGAACATTTTCTATATATTACTGGTGAATTTGATACATAGCCATGGGTGAGCCAATGATTCAAAATTCTCCTTTTCTCTGTTGCTAGGGAAGCTACAACCCACTCTGAAATGACTGCTGACCGAGATGCAATCTATGATGAAAGTACTGATGAGGAAAATGAAAACTTGTCTGATCCCTCTGTGTTGGCTTCAGGTTAAAGAAATATATTTATTTCCTTTGTTAAATATCTCACTTGGGCTTATTACTCTAAAGATAGGAAACCATAATGAAAAATGTTATGAAAAAAACTTTCTACAAAAATTCTTTTGGACTTATAGCCTAAAACCTCATATACTTAAGGTTAAAAATGAATATTTATTGTAAAATGCAGCAATTCATTAGCAACAGCAAAGCAAGTAAGCATACATACACACATACATCAAGGTGTACTATTCCTTGTTAAACAAAGATGCATAAGCAATAAGGAAGATATACCTTCATGCTAAATGTCACCAGCTCAAAGCTGGCTGACTTTAACATTTGAGATCTTGTCTAGCAAAAGCTCTGGATAGGGCACTAGAGCAGGGTGATCCAAAATGCTTTAGATTATCTTGAGGTTAAGGCCTTCTCTTACTCTTTAGAAAAAGGATTATAATGGGATGAGAGGGAAAGAGAAAGGAACATGGCAATTTAGTTTAAAGTACTGAGCCTACTCAGTTTCTCAGATCAAGAACCCAGCAGGTGTTTAAACTTATGGATGATTTTTCTAGAGTTTCATGGATTTCCTAGGACAGTGGAAGCAAGAGCCCCTGAACTCATTTTATACTTAGATGGTTCTGACCTAAACCCAATATTATCATAAATAAATGTTTGATTCATTTATTTAGAAAACATTTTTGAGTGCCTATTATACACCAGCAATAGAGAACAAAACACAAAAATCTGTGCCATTGTGGAGTTTAAATTCTAGTCAGGGAAACAGATGATAACAAGATGAATAAGTTAAATATAACATATTTTAGATTGATAAGTGCTGAAGATAAAAATAAAGCCAGGGAAGGATAATAGAAATATCAGGTTTGGAATAGGGATGAGGGTTGTGATTTTAGCCAGGAAAGGCCTCAGCGAGAAGGTGACAAGTCTATCTGGGGGAAGAACATGCCAGGCAGAAAAAGCAGTTAGGTACAAAGGCCCTGATGTGTTCAAGCAATAGCACAAAGAACAGTGTAGATAAAGTGGAAAGATAACGATTGGGAGAATTAGGAGATGAGGTCAGAGAGATAATGGGATCACATCACCTGTACAGCCTTGTAGGCCATTGTACAGACTTGTGCATTGATTTTGAGTTAGATTGGAAACTGTTGGAGGGTTTTGAACAGTCAAGTGACATAATCTAACCTAAGTTTTAACAGGATTAATCTGGCTGTTGTGCTGAGAATAGACTATAGAATGGCAAGTGAAGAAAATATTTTACAGAGTAGGCCATGATCAGCTGAGAAGATATAATAGATGGGAAGCTAGTTCAACAATTGGGTTAAGGATGATGGTGGTTTAGACCCCAGTGGAAGTAAAGGTGATGAGCATTGAACAGATTCTAGACATGTTTAGAGGCAGCAGGATTTGCTGATGAAGTGGATATGGCAAAAGAAGACTGAACAAAGAATCCTGAGAGGGAGTAGCCAGAAGGTAAGAGGCAATACTGTAAATGTAGTATCCTGGAAGACAAGTGAAAAAAGTATTTCAAGGAGTAGACAGTGATCAGCTGAGTTGAATGCTGCTAATGGGGCAGAGAAGATGAGGATTGATAACTGATGGATTTGGCAATACAAATGTTATGGCAATCTTAATATAACATTTTCAGTGGGATTCTAGGGGATAGGAGAGAATAGAAAGTCCAAGGAGAATGAGAGGAGAGATTTGGAAATGTAGGCAAATATATAGACAAATATAGGCAACACTTAGGCAACAACAATAAGTTTCACTGTAAAGAAAATGAAAGGCATGGGGCAGTAGCTGGATGGGGTAGTGAAGTAAAGAGGAGTGTTTTTGGTTTTTGTTTTTAGATTAGAGAAATAATACATATACTGATGGGAGTGAATAAGGACAGTGGGATAAAAATGGAGGCAGAAGACAGTGAAAGAATTGCTGGAATACTGTCTCTAAGTAGAGAAGAAGATGGGATCCAGTGGAAATAGTAGATTAGTTTAGGAGCAGTCACTTCCTATAATGACAAGAGAGAAGGTAAAATAAGTAGACAAAGACATAGGACAGTGTCTAATTACAGTCATGGAAACTTACTAATATTAAGTTAGTTGATAATTAATCAGATTTGAATTGGGTCACATACATTCTCAAACTTTTGCACATGGGACTTAAATTTCTCTTCATTTGGATGTTATACTTGCTTTACCATAGTGGCCCATTTGAAATGAAATCATTCTTGAATAATCAAGTGTAATCAAAAGCTCACAAAGTTCTCAAACTTTTGCACATGGGACTTAAATTTCTCTTCATTTGGATGTTATACTTGCTTTACCTTAGTGGCCCATTTGAAATGAAATCATTCTTGAATAATCAAGTGTAATCAAAAGCTCACAAAGAAAGAGAATATATACTCTTTCCAATTTGAAGTTCCAGAATTTTTATTAAATATAATGGCCTTTGATTTTGTGCTTTATTTAGAGTATGTCACCAAAATTTGAAGTACATGAAAATTATTGTTGAAGAGAAATTATATGGTTAAACAGGTTATATGAGAATGGGGCTCTTCTGTGTTCAGCCTGTTTTAAGCAAAGCTTTACATTACAATTGTACTATTTTAAATTTGGCAAAATTTCTCGTCTCTTCCAAAATGTTCAGTTTATTCCGTATTTTTTTTTCCAACTTAAATCTAGTTCACTACACATTTGATCCATGGGTCTCTTGTTTTAATTTTTTTTCTTGCATGTAATTTGCTTTGGCAAGTCTTTGATGTCAAGAATTAAGAGTATTTTTATTTGAAGTTTTACCTATCTTTTTTCTTCTGCTTCAGTAAGAATTGCGTATTGTAATAGTGAATAAGCTAACTATATTGATTTAACCACCACACATTCTACACAATTATTGAAAATCAACATTTTACACCATATATATGTATAATAATAAAAAAAGAATATTGAAAATAATCTATATGTAATTTATTAGAAATAAGAGATTTTATCAAAATTGCTGGATATAAAGTCAGCATAAAAAAAATCAATTACATTAAAAAAAATTCAGGAAATTGATGTTTGCTAAGATAAAAAATAAATCTCAGATAAATAAATAAATAAATAAATCTCAGATCAAAAATGCTTTATACTGAATTAAGAACTAAATTCCATAGATCTGAGAAAAACCATTATATATGTTAAACAACAGAATAGGCCTCCTTATAATTTACCAGCTTCCATAATTAATTATTTTACAGAAACAAAATATATTTTTATTCCATAGGATATTTTCCTTTTTTTGAGCACAGCTTTGTCTTCTTGGTATTTTATTAAGTATTACTATGTGTTTGGGGCAGAGCAGTGAGAATTTCTTCCTGAACTTATTCTACCATCTTGATAATGAATTGCTTATCCTTAGAATACAAGTAAATGTGTGAATTTATTTTAGATATTGCAGTTTCATATGTGCTTTTCCTACAATGAAAACAAGAGGATGAGATATCAATGGGGATTAATACATTTACTCTTTCAGAAACCCATTTCTTTTTGTTTGTTTGTTTGTTTGTTTGTTTGTTTGTTTTGTTTTTTTGTGTGTGTGTGACCGGTAAGGGGATCGAAACCCTTGGCTTGGTGTCAGCCGCACCGGCCTCAGCCAGTGAGCGCACAGGCCATCCCTATATAGGATCCAAACCCGCGGCGGGAACGCTGCTGCTGCTCCCAGCGCCGCACTCTCCCGAGTGAGCCACGGGGTTGGCCCAGAAACCCATTTCTTGAAGTGATTGAATGTGTAATTTGTATTAATGTTATTATGTAAATAGATTTTCATCATTAATTATTAAAATGCCCAAATTTCTTCATGAGTTCTTCACATTATTACCCCATTCCTAGTTGATAAAAGAAATTTAGTGAGATAAGATCATTTAGTGATTCCACGGTATTCATTCAAGGAAAAGGTCTGTTTACTTTTATGCATATATACAGAAGTAGGTAGAGATACTATAGTTTGAAGGAATTTGGTGGGTAACATTTATATGAATAAGCGATCAATTTTATCACTTTTTTACTCCCAAAGTTTTTAATTTTTCCCTGTCATTAGGATTAGTGAGGAAATAACTAATAAATAATCAAATCTAATAAACTGCATCATGCTCATGTGTACTACACTACATAGAATGAAAAACATCTAAAACTCATTAACAGTTTATTGGCTAAAAGGAAATCACCACAGTATTCTGAAACTTGAACGTCATAGTCAATACCATCTCACAGTACAAATTATACTTTTCTGTAGCAAGATTTACTTTTCCTATGCCTTGACTCAGAATTTCCAGATAGTTATTAATGGTATTACTGACTTTATTTCTTAAGCTATGACTGCATACTAAGGCCCTAGAATTCATAGGTATTTCACTTAGTTTCAGATTAAGATTTCCAGACAGTTATTAATAGTATTACTGACTTTATTTCTTAAACTATGACTGCGTACTGACTCCCTAGAGTTCGTAGGTATTTCAGTTTGTTTCAGATTAAGATTATGACAGATAAAATAGTTGCTGTCATCTCTATTTATAGTTCATCTCTGGATTACAGAGGAGAATGGGTCATTTTCATGTAGTTATTATTACTTCCTGTGTTTTTAAGGATTTCCTGGTTAGTCTGGACTCTTCCCACCTCTGAAGCATGTGTGTGTCTGTGTGTGTAATTCAATAGAAACCTGTTGGGTTGTTACAGATATTGTGAAACAACCTCTCTACAAAATCTCCATTTCTTTGGATCCAAATCCTGGTAACATCTGATGTCTAAATCTATGGAAAAACATCAAGTCAAACTAAGCTCCACTGACCCAAAACAGCTAGATAAGAAAAATAAGTTCTATTGGTGCACAGTCAAGCTAGGCATCTATAATTAACAATAATTTACTGCATGTTGTCAAATGGCCGGAAGAGAAGAAATAAAAGCTTTTCATCACAAAGAAATTAAGTTTTGTAATGATGAATATGCTATGTACCCTTATTTGATCATCACAC